TAATTAATAGTTCTTATTTCATCAGTTTCGTAAATTTCGTCTCAATCTCCATCAACCGAGTCAACTACATAGTATGGGGTCCCCTTGTTAATTTTAACTTCCCTAATTGTTCCGGGAAATCACTCTAGTTTTTTTCGTGGGTTAGGAAAAATATGAAGCACTTCAACCCTGCTTTCACATTTAAATTAACCCATATTTTAAGTAACAGTATTGCTGACCTCTGGTGGGGCCGCGGACGGAGTAAATTGGTCGTTATTATCCTAAATTCGGGATTCCCTCCGTGCATTGAAATACATCAGAGCTGATAGGTAGTTTAAAATTAATTAGTTTGACACCGAGTGGCTAGGAGTCGAGGGCTTCAATAAAATTAATACTAACCTGACTCTCAATTTTATAATTTCTGGATTTAACGACCCTATAAGAAGCTAGATCATAGAGCCTCGTGTATCCGCCACAGAAGTCTAAAGTCGGCCCAAGCAATATTCCTTCCTTTAAATTCGGGGTCAGCTTACCAGCTTGATTAAATCTTTAGTAAACAAGTGAAGAGAAGACCTCAAGCTCAATTTTCGGCTTCATTTTATAAACTTTCTCCCAACTTCCTGTAAAAACGTTAACAATGAACGCTGCGTGTGACAAGGACTCCGGCCAGAATTCAGGAGACAATTCTTCTTTCCTTATCATGGCTTTGGTCATCTCTTCAAGTTTGCCATTATAGCGTTTACCAAGTAGATTGTGAGACGGTGTGTCAGGAGCGGTCATATTTCTTTCTGAGTAAGTCTAGAAATTTTAGATAATCCATTTTGTCGAGCGCTTTGATTAACTGCATAACTTTTAGCCGCTTCTCTAGCACTGTATTCTTTTATTAAGCTTTTTTAATGCTTACTTCATCATTTGTTACTTTACTCCCCTATCTGTCCTCCCAACGTATTTTCGAGACATCTAACTAAACTTGAAAGAAAAATATTTGATAAGAAATACAGGATGTGTAGTTTCAACTGTTGCGTCTACCTCCCCATGGTTGATTTTAAGTACTCCGCAAGCGCAAAACAAAGAAAAGGTTACTGTGGTTAAGGTAAGGTGACTCATTGTTTTGTTAAATATAACTGCCTATCCGCCAACAGAATATAGTATTACTTATCTGCTATACTTACAAATATACATTTCTAAATAAATAAAATCCCATAATGTTTAATGAAAAAACCTTAACTTTTACTGCTTGAAAACAAGAATCACACAATACTAACTAATGTGCTTTCATGGCGTCTCTACGTCTTAGCACAATCAAATGTAAGAGCAACATACATTCTTGCACTAAAAGTCGGGCGGGCTTTTTAAACAGTATTCAAAAAAATATTACTGGTTTAATCTATTCCATGGTGGAGTCCCCGCCTTTCCTCTACATAAGGCGTGGGTGGGCATTAGAAGCCCAGGTCTTTTTTTCTTACACATTATTTTCTAAACAGGAATATAAATTTCTTTTGTTGCTTTAAACTAGAGTCCGAAGGCTTATATTTGCGTTTTAATTATAATAGGTTTAATTACATTTACCTTTGCGCACTTTTTCGCTGAATTTTTTTCCACCCATCTCCTTGCTAACCTTTATTTATAACTCGCAACTTCTCATTTTTCCTTGTTCCCTTAAAATCTTTTTAAAACCCTTTGCAACCCAGCTGTCACCCTTGCTAAAAAATTAAGTAATGTTTATTAAATAATTTACTCGCGTTTAATTTTATCATGTTTTATATACTATAAGTTGTGAATAGATGTTATGTATTTTAACTCATTTTAAAGTTTCTTGAATTGCTAAATTCTATATGCGTCTTTCTTATATTGATTATAGGAGGATTCAGTACTGTAAACTAATTTAACTATTAGTTTAATAATTTTATTACCTTAGATCAATTTTTAAGCTTTACTCACTAAACAAATCTGTGATCTTGCTTCTATAACATTAAAATTCAAGCAACCTATTTTAGTATTTCTTGTTTTGTTTCGCTCTGTATAATAACATAAAACATTATAGAATTATATATAAATAGTCAAACTTAATTATTGCTTAATTCTTTAGAGTTATATGTATATTACTTATATACGCCAATATATAGCATATTTTAATAATTTGGAGGTTTAAATATCCTAATAAGAGATATGAGCTTTTATGTTTTTGCGTACGTATAGTTTGAATTCTAAAATTAATGGCTATCACGCCGAAGACTTTTTAAGTTTCTTATATCAAGTCCTTAGAAGTAAAATTACGCTTACTCTCTAAGCTCGAATATCATAAAGATCGAAAAGTCAATGCAGAGTTATATATCTGAAACCATTTGCCAGCATTCAAAAGTGGGGCGTCTAATTTGAGGTTTTAGTTAATCTTGACACCACACACTAGTTGTATTATCAAAAGTCTTATTATTAATTTAATTTTAGTGCCGTTGCATGATTGATGTATTGCAACATAAACACAATTTTTTTTTTGTTACATTGTAGTCTAATCAACAATTTTAAAACTTTAAAAACTCTTATATTTTATTATAACAGTGTATGTTCTATTTTCTGCTCTCAGCCAAAATTTTACTTTATAAACCCTATTTGGGTTAAAACCACTTTTTGCCAAAAAAAGATAAATAAGTTAGCTTTCGAGTACTTCTTTGCTTTAATGATAGTTCGAGGTTATATGGTGGGGTCGATCGTATTCTCCATAAAGGCAAGCTTATAACTACTCTAAGACAGGACAGGCCATACTAACGCTTATATGATAATACATCAATAGAACAGTACTTCACATTATAACAATTAATTATTAACTCAATACTGAAACGTCACATAATCACTGTAAATCAGCATTAAGATAGAGGAGTTGCAGAGAGGGCTATTTTGAGTATAAAATGGCTTTCATAAAAAGGTGTTAAAAACAGCAGGTTGAATGAGATGAAGCCCTGGGCGCTATATAAATTGTTATAACAGACTGCCCTACGTATTAGAAGACCTTCTACTTTACTACTTTTTAAAACCAGTGAACTAATTTGGATTATTAAGGATAAAAATTATTTAGCTCTTAAAAATTAATACCGCCGCTTAATAAAAACCTTACATTGCCTACAATAATTTGACTAATAATACTAAAAATGTATGAAAAAAAGCAAAGAATTTAAACGAGTGAATCTAAAGAAAATGTAAGATAAAGATGTTTACAGCAGGAGACAATAGCTAATCTCGAAAATAAACCTTTAGTTGTATAAAAGCAAAGACCAGCTATATTTGAAGAAACTTTATTGAGTTCGGGAGCATGACATAGGTTTTGAGTAAGGAGTTAATTAAACATCAGAGGGATCAAAAAAACATTTTTTGGTAATAGTAGTAGTGTGGGGGCCATTCTAGAATTTGGAACGATTGTTATTATAGCTATGATCGCACCGATTAACGCAGGGTGACTTGTAAATTTGTGCGACAAAAAAACCATTTTATCAAATCCAAGGCCATGCCAATAGCATGTTTAAATAGTTCATTCTTTACAATATCTCAGTTTGTGTTTTCGATGATGCTTCCGGTCACTTTTTCCTACTTTTAATCCCTTAGATGTTACACAAGAACCTAATCATAATCGATACTTTTCCACGTTCATACGTTTGCACCGCCTGGTGGTCAAGTATTCGATTATCGCAGGATCGCTTCTAACACCACCTAATACCGTTTGCATGACATTGATAAACCTTGCCTCGTCCGAGAAATTTAATTTTTTCAGTTAAAAAAGGCCACTTTTTGTACTTTTACGCAAACTTAAATCTTAGTCGCCTGTCACTTTTTATCAAACAGGGTTTATTTAACTATTTTTTCGCAGAAAGACCAGTAGGATAGGGTGCTCTTTATACGGTCAATCTTGAAACTGTTCTACCAAATGTTGTTCCTAGGAATTTTGAACTTTTCTGTGCAAATTCGATTGGCACCCGATGACACTCGTCGTATACAAGTCTATCCACATCCCGGTTTTTAAGTTCTTTGGACGTAAGGTTCATTGCAAGGATGATTTGGATCATATTGAGCTTTGATCCGGTATACTGAGGCTTTACTGCCACCACATTCTTGAACTTTCAGCCTAAGATTTGCTTTTAATAAGCACTTTACTTCACTTTTTTTATCGATTGAATCCTTACGAATTTTTGATTTAAGTTCTCCATATTAGCTATCTTCTATAGTTACTCAATTGTTAAAATAAACCTCCACTGGAGTGATCAAAATAATTTTGTATAAAGATTGAAACACTATAGCCTGAACGGGGACACCTGCGTTAAAGTTTCACTCAATCTCCAACCTTTGAAAAGCGATAAAGACTTAAGTAAGAAAGCAATAATACAAACTACTTTAAATAGATCTTAATTTAACTCCTCTATATATAAAGGTTCCATAAATTCAATCAGCACGGCGGTATAGAAATTTTGCAAAAAATTATGAACCTAAAACAGTTGTAAACGGTAGTGTCTATAAGTACTATCGCTACAACTCTAAAACATAATGGACTTTGTTGATTAACAAAAGAATTGTACTTTATAATTTTTACACCTTTTTAATTATCCGTGTTTATAAAACTTAGTAGAATAAGCGCCTATACTTTTAAAGCTTAAGGAGTCTCAAAAGGTTTTTCCTTTATATGTATTGAGACTATTTGAATTTGACTGTACTCGTGATCACGTAAAAGGTCATCGCTAGTTTAATTACTCGTAAGTGCTATCTCAACTAAAAATTTCATAGCCGGCTCACTTTTTGTAAAGAAAAAAAAAAGATATGGCAATGTAAGTAGCGCATACATACGCCTGCTACTTTTTTAGGATACATAAGTAGGCAACAAGAGTTTTGCTAACACTCTTTCTCCAAGTTTTAACTTTCAGAGGAAGTCGCAGAAATTTGGCATATAGAGAACGTATTTAATACCCGATGGGTAACGCAGAGTAAAATTAGAGGGCCGATCGTCAAATGCCTTTATTAGTAAAAAGGAGTTTACCGCACTATACAAAAGAGGGCCATTCATCCTCAGCTTCACAAGCAAAAGTCTTCTTTACTATAGACTCATCTTTAATTAGTGCTGGAGGAGACAAAGAGTGAGTTGGGGAATTAATTTTAAACGTAGGTATAAAAAATACTGTTTTTTTCAACAGTACAGGAAGCCTCCACAAGGCAGTTTAAAAGTTTACAATTCGAGTTTACATAAGAGTCGTGGCAAATAATGGAGTTTTGAATTACACAGCTAAATATAAATTAACTTTTAGTATAGAACAATAAAAAAAACCTTAATAGGATGTATAAACTCACTGGGCTTCAACGGTCACGTGGTCCATGAGAACCGAGTTCATGATCTTAACGTTATTGGCTACTGTGCCTGCTCAAAGGCACAGAGAAAATGAATGGTGTGCATTGAGGGGTAGTTCTGTAATACAGTGATTTCCTATAACAGTGTTCCGTATAGAACAGCGGTCCCCAACTTTACAGCCTTCGCCAATGATGACATCGCTTTTAACTTGTGTTCGCTTGCTTATATCACTGGAGCTACCGAATCGTTCAATTTCACAAGAAAATTTGGTTTCCTTAATCTTATAAAAAAGTCTCTAGTCCTCGTATGACAAACAAATAGTTATGCGACGAACATGGAAGTTGGCATCAAAATAACGACAAATAGTGTTCACGCGGCGAGAATAAACTCTCGAAAAGTATAGGAAACAGCGAAGAGGATCGCCTTCGGTCAGCTCCGTGCTGCTTCGGGTAGCTTTAATATAGTCAAATACATCTAAACCCAAAGAGAGAAGTAAATAAAGAAATTGCTATGCACGCTGAAATGAAAGACTGCCTGGTGTGCTGTCGGCTGTGTAGCGGGAGCGCTTGAACTGTTTCCGAACCTGAAGCAAACATGAGTTCACTACATCGGACTTCTGTAGGTCAAAAATGCGGTGACCAGCAGGGGAAGGAGTTCCCACTTCACACTTTCCATAGCGTTCCAGTCCTTTAAAAAAGAGAGTATCCAGTGCTTGCAGACGTAGAGGTAGCAGTCTTGCCAGCATGTGGTATAGCGAAGTCTCGGATATCTGTGGGGAATAAATTAAGGAAAATTTTACATTAAAGTACTATAGCAGCTGTGCTTCTTCTAAGGTTTATTATAAAAGAAAAATATTATTTAACCCTAAAAAATAGTAAAAAGACGCAAAAAAATTAAATAATATATTATCCAGGCTTCCATAAAAAACTGGGGGTCGTAACAAGATTATTAATGTTTACTTATTTTGTGTAAGAATAATAAACTAGAGAGAAACCATAGTTAGTATATATATACAGAAGTAAACATTGTACTTTACTCTAAATGTAGTAACTAAACAAAATTTTTTATAGGAAAAAAATTACTTATGATAATTCTACATATAAATAATACACCAACAACATAGAGTATAATTATATCATAATAAACAATTAACATGAATATATTTTCCACTCCTGAAAAACTAATTTAAAGAACATCAGTATAGAATATTTTAAAAAAAGTAAACTTTCGCAATATAGTTCTCGACAAACGAAATTTATTGTTCATGTCAGCAGCGTTTATAAGAGCCAAAAGTCGATTGGTGTCTTCGTCATAAACCACAATCTCACTTGCAGCTGAGTAAAATTATTAAATAATTATCTCAAAGCAAACAAACAAACTTAATTCAAGATAATTGAAGTAAAAATTCGCCACTTATAATACTTTCCTATAAAAAATTTATTAAAGCACAAAAAAAAAGTTAACTTAATCCAAGAATTTAATAGAGACATGTAAACTTTAGTAAAGTCTATTCACTAAAAATACCTTTATCCCTTCTCTCGTAAGGCAGTTCTTGTTCTTCTCGAGAAAGATCCGATAATAGTATAGTAAGACTGGAATTGCTAATCATATGCAAATCAATAATCTTTGAAAAATTGCAATCGCTTATTAGATCAGAGCTCATTATAATAAAATCGCCCTAAAAACAAAACAGAGTGACATACAAAAACGCTAACACTAAAAAGCGTAAAATAGTAAAGTTGAATCCTCTTGAACATGTAAGGTAACAAAACTATAATATTGTAAAGAGTATATTTTTTTATAAAGCAACAGGAGTTAAGGCAATGGGCTTCACAAGCTTAAGTTTAAAAGAAGAAAACTTAAAAAATAAAAACCGCCTACCAACATATATGTCTATGAAACTATTTAATTAGTTTTAACAAAGGAGCATAACTTAACAAATTATTTCGGTGTAACAAGATATTTCATCACTCATACTTATCGAAGAAACTAAAAAATAAGGGATACCAGGTAGACAAGTCTTTAACACTCTTTTAATATAGTTTGCCGGAGTGGTATTGAAAACAGTAAAACACTTAACCCCTCTAAAGCTATAAAAATTCTTTACAGGATGTGGAAACTACAAAACTTTTGCCACCTTAAAAGCTTTTAAATTTTGCAGTTGCACTTTGTTTCTAAAAAAAAAGGTTGAACAAGCAATAAGAGTAAAGGAGAAGTGGAGCATATAAAAGATTAGTTTTATATTATAAAATTCAATGATCAGTTTTATAATATAAAATTCAATTGTAAGTTGTTTATATGGTTCACAATTTCACAACTTCCCACAACTGCCAGAAGAAGATGAAATAAAAAAAGTAAGAAAAACTATAAGCGAGCGCACTGAAGAAACCAAGGGTGCACCAATGGCAAGACAATAAAAATACTTGGCGCGAAAAAAGAACAAAATTCAGAGATGTTTACATTTTCTTACTAAAGAGTGCAAAAAACATATAGTGCCGATTTCGGTATAGACAAAGCTTCAATAGAGACAAAAAAGGCAAGATGTAATAAAAAAGCTGTTACAGTCGAATGATAACCTAGAAGGATCTGTAGATGCACAAGTAGCAAATCTTTCTTGATAAAACTAAAAAACTAAAACCCGTGTTAACATATCTCTAAAATTGCAATATTTATTTATTGATAAATAGCAACAGTTAATAATCATCTAGTATAAAAATTAAAAAGCGATGATAGCTTCATAAACTTAGCTGCTTATTAATGACCTGAAAAGGCTTAAAGTAGAAGAATTTAAGATTTAAATACACTACATTCAAAAGCATCAATAACCATATTAAAAGTAGGCAAGATACATAAAACTTGTAAATAATTAAAAACGTCCCCCCTCCCTCCTTAGAAAAAATTATAGTGTTTAAAAAAAAGGTTAAACTACGCCAAGTGCCTGAATTAAATACTTAGAATACATACACGTAATTATATATATAAAAAACACAATAACACCGTTATAAGGTTTGAAACTCTAAGCAAAGCTCCTATTGTTGAGATTTCTCTTTCAATGGTAACAACAGTTAGATTTACTCTGGTTTCATAAGCTTGGAGGTAGGAAGCTAGCTGAATATCTTCCTCTTGAATTATAACGATAAGGTCTACGTAAATTGAAAAAAGGAATTAAATACTACATAGCTACATAAGTTAGCGGGAAATTTGAAAGAAAGGAGGTTATTTAAGTTTTAAATCGAAAAATCTATTTAACCTTGAAATCCCGCTTGTACTAGAGATAACAAAGAATACGAAAGCAAAGGCCTTCCAGCTACAGGGAGCATGGCTTTTGGTAAAAATTTTGTTAAATTCCTCATTCTATGTCCTAAGGAGAAAAATATAGGAGTATAAGGGCATTAATAGAAAATGTAAAGGTTGTTGTAATAAAACACCAATTTCTTAATAAGAAAATATGAACATGAAAAACCTTCGCCTGCAGCAAAGAGAACAACTGTTAGGTTACTTGAGCTAACTAGCGTCATAGTTTGAATACGTATTCAAGCCAGAGTTAATGCGAATAAATTGTAAACGATAAGCACCCTCAGTCTCAGAATTCCTCCTTGCATGGAACGACATGTAACAACTCGGCCCAAAACCATATTAGACCTCCAATGAAATAACCCTGCACTAAATAACTCGGAACCTTAACAAATTTAGCTTTGTAGTCACGAGGTTTTACAGGTTAAATATGTTAAATTTCAGCAAACTGGGATTGAGGGTTCTTGTCAAAGCTTAGCGTTTAGGAGCTGTGACGCGAAACTCAAGGTCATGGACTTAATTCCTACCGACGCCACTTCTTTTTCGGTCTTTGGTGGTTGCATAATGCAACTTGCCCTCAAAAATTGTAGTAACGTGTCAAAGCGTTTTCGAGGTGTTTATATTATTTTCCTCCTTTACCTGCTCAGACAGAGAGCAGTAATATATTACCAATGCAAAAAAAATATATATTTTCTCTTTCAGTCTTTTAAGATTGCTACAGAATATTAAAATTGCTCTAAACACCTTACAAAGAAAAGTTAAGAGAATACAAAACCTTTATAATACTCATAAAGCTACGTTAGTATAAGTATATCAGATATTTTTAAAAAAATTTCTGGTCTTTCGTTCTTTGTAATTATTACCATTTATAATGCGTATGTGTGAAACCATAGCGCAAAAAATAGTAGTGTACAAATAGTTACTTTTACTGTTTTAACTTTATAAGTATAAATTTTAAAAAATTAAAAAACTTTCTCTGTTTTAAGATATTATGCAGTATTATCATCGTAACCTACATATTAATTCGACTAGCAATTTAAGAAGATTTAATAAACTTTGTTATAAGCCAATGTATTATCCGGTTTAATATAGGGTGCCTGTAAAAGGTGCCCTTAAAAATTATATTACTTAATTAGGCAAATAAAAACCTCAGCGGTTTCCCTGGCATAGAAGGGAAGGATAAAAGGGGTTGAAGTTGTTGACTCTAAACAGAGATTTGCGCAACTTGGGTCATAAAGTTTACTGATGCGTTTACCAGGAATTAGATTTAAAAAAAAATTGGAGAAGGTTGCGGACCCGTTATAGGGAGTAAAGATTTGACTCGATTTGTGGATCACATAAAGTGGTTGCTCCTTCAAGCTTAGGTACCGTGTAGTACTCAGAAAATCGACAAAACATTGTATTCCTTTAGTATCACTAAGCTTAAAAGGGTGGTATTGTATAACTAGATGGATAAATGACTTAAATTTGGTATTTATTATGGTAATCTTTATATAAAAAGCAACAAACCTCCAGATGTTGTGCGAAAACCTCTGCTTTTTCTTGGTTTCTACAAGCGAGGTCATCGCAAGTCAATTAAGGTAATCTCGTCTATTGGTATCTGTTTCTAATTGACTTCAAAAAAATTTGCCATTACGGTTTTGGGTCCTGTGATATCCGTTAACTGATCAAGCTAAAGAATTGACTTTTTAACTCTTAGTTATGTTAATTTAACAACTTCTTAATATAGGGTATCTGCATATAGGTAATTTTTTTTTTGTTTCTTCTTTGTGATAAAAGGTAGTAAAGTACAGCTTAAAATACTGGTCTTCTTCACTAATGGTTCTTCCGTATATTAACGTATATTAGCACACTCTACCAAGATGTGTCTGAGTGTTAAGTCTAAATTCCATATATACAGTGTCACAATTTGTATATTTGTTCAATAGTTCACTCAAGTTCTGTACATTTTTAAATATCTGGGGGAACTAAACTTAGGAAGGCGAACCTAAGGTTAACAGAAAATTGATCAAAAGAAAGTTCATTTAGTATAACTTTGGTCTCAAACCCGAAGTCTTTTGAAAATGTATGTTTACCATCTCAGCTAAACTGACAGTCGAGACAGTTGGGGCCCAAGACATGGAATCCTACGGATCCGAATAATCTCTGTTAGGATGTGATATCTTAAAAAAATGGCTTCTTGCTCTTTTTACCAGTAAAATTTTCTTTCATTTTGCTAATTTAGTGAGGGCTCCTGCAGTTTAAATATTAGCACATACTAACCGCTTCATATGGCATTATTCTCCTTCCAAAAAATTTTTTCCAATAATTTATAGAATAAAACAAAGCAACTCCCATTGACCATATTGGTTGTCAATGACCGCAATAGTGTCCTTAATTACCAAAATGGATGAGTGAATTGCTTTTTAATTATTGCGGATTCCATACCAGCTATCTTTAATCCTATGCCATTTATAGATTGTATAATATGAAATTTCAGTGGTTTAAGTGCGTCTCTTTTATTAAGACAAAGTCGTAATTTTTTTGTGAAAAAGAAAAATTAAGTTCTGATTTTCTATTATATTGTTTAACTGCTGCCTGGATGAGATCAATACGATTTAATAAGATCTTAAACAGCTTGGCTACAGTTGAAAAGAGTGGCAACCGTTATGAATCCTTTAAGTTCTCTTTAGTTTTATTGTTTTTATAACAATAAAGTACTTTTTTTTTTAATTAGTTATGGGCGCAATATCTTAGAAACTAAATGAATCGTATAATTTTCACTTAAAGATTAAAAAACCGTAAAAGTCAAATAATATGTCGCCATTGTTTCGCGCATCAATAAAAGACCAGTGGTTTGTGTGACTCTCGTTATTGTAATGCTGCCTATGTTAGAGTCAAAAATAAAATTTTCCAAAATCCTTAAAACTTTAGACTTTCCATGAAGGAAGAACTGAACAGGATATGGCTGCAAGATATATGATCACACTGATTAACTACACACTTCAAATCTTGGTGTCTATATACAAATAAAAAAAATTAAAACTCAGAGAACAAGCAAAATTTACAAGGCTGTGTATACTTCCCAAAATGTTTTTATAAAGATATGAATATCTAATAATTCAAATTTATACTCCTATTATAATAGAACATTCCTGTGAGAGGAATCTTAGGTAATATCCATACTAGCATAATGTCCTCATTAACTTATCTTCCGGTGAGATTAACTACCCCAAGGATTCTTTAGTAGATTCACCTTACAAACCTGGTCTCTACGAAAAGACACAAAATATGCGAAATAGCTATGCGGTTGGACATAAGATTAAATTTTGTAAGAGATTAAGCTTTTTAGAACAGCTTGCGTAAAGATTCGTAGCCCTTTTGAAGTAAAGGAACATAAGAAACCCTGACAAGAAGAAAAAACTGGTTGGTACTCCGTTTACAGCTTAATAACATACATATTACTTTTTGTCTAAAAATCTTATAGCGGATAGCATTGAGAGATGGTTGAATTAGATGGGTGTTGCTCCCGAAAAGATTACCAAAAAATCTAAAAAAGCACGCTCATTTTTGGCACAAGTTTAGCGTCCGTAACTACTGTTATGTTTTGCTGAAAACGTGATCCCTTTTTTGAAACTTTCGACTTTTAATCAAAAGTTAAGCTATAAAGCCTCTAAAATTGACAGTTCAATATACCTTGACGCTAGACACAATTTTAATGTTTTAATATGACAAGCATAGGTAAAAAAAAATTCTTACTACATTTCCGAGTGCTAAGTATAAGTTATGTAATTTAACATACAAACTTTTTTATTTTTGGTTTTTGGCCTAAGGCTTGAAAAAATAAAAGTAATATGGTTGAAATGAACTCATCGTGTATTATAAGTTAGATCTTCCGTTTGTACCATTTTTAAACTAAAGAATTTGAACTTTAAGGCCAACCACATTTTCGCCGATAATTCTTTTTTTATTATACAAGTGTCTTCACTAGCACAATTTAAAAAATTAACTGGTCGATAATATGTCTTTTTGCCTACAGCTACGGGCAACTACTATATACAATTAAGTATTTCACCAAAGAGCCAAACTAAGTATGAAAGCAGACGAAAAACCTGCTTTATACAAAGTTTATAGGCTAAAAAACCTTATATACATTTACTTTAACAATTTCCATTTCGACGTGTTAGTGCTGGTATTTAGAGCTGTAAAATTATTTCGTATTAGCTCATATAGAAAGTAATTTTTTTAGACCTTAAAGTAAAAATTATTTAGCCTAGCTGCCTCAATAAATTTAAGCAACAAGTGCGTTACACTTAAACAAGATTAAACTCGTACAACTTACTTTCAAACTCTTCTAAAAGGTTATGGTTGCCTTTAGATATTTTATATTCGGCAAAATTATGGTAAACATGGGTATAATAAATTTCAGCGTTAAAATTAAGGCATGCAGAGATTCCGTTTTAACTTTTCTGTATTCATATGCATGAAAAAATTTCCGCATTATTTTGCGGTGACTTGTATAGGAAGTTGATGTAAAGATTTTTTTTTTAAAGACTTAGCGCTAAGTAAGGAAATAAATTCAACTACCATTAAATCTTGTGTCAGTTTTGTATTTACAGTGGACATATAAATGACGCGTTTTACAATATTGGCGGATACGTAATTCTTCCGCAAAGGCATGGTGTTAGACAGCCTTGAAGTCCTTGATCTTTACAAGAAAGGTTCATAAAACCTTTTTCTCGCTGACTTATCCTTATCTCGTAGGATGGTATAGATAGAATATAAAAATGAAACACAGAAGACTAGCTTTATCTTATTCCAAAGGGGTACTCCTGAACTTCAGCGCCCTGCTCTTTAATATAAATATATAATATAAAACTTAACAACTGTCCCCTTCACTCACATCTCCACTAATAATAATTACGGTTTCGGTGTTACCTGATAGTAACTTGTTGGAGGAGAAGTTCTTTGATATTTTTATTAATAAAACTTTTATCATCTAAAATAACGGCAAACATAGTTTTATTGTATACTTTGTATACTTTAATAACAAAGGTTATGTAACAGTCATTAATTTATATGGGTGTATATTTAACAGCTAGTAACTTTTCAAAACTAAAGAATATAAATAACGACACCAAGAACTTTGAAAAGAGTAACCTTATGTTTTGGTAATAATTTGAATAAAGTTTATCTTATACAAAAACTCCTCATAACTTGTACATTATAGCTCAATTTAAAATTAAAAAAAGGCTATTTAGCATCTCAATTATGTTATTAAGTTACTTCTTTCCAGAAAAAATTGAGTTACTCTTTACCAAAACTTGGCTGTATA